TTGTACTACTTCGAAGCAGTTGAGATTTGCATTATTTCAGTTTAATCAATAAAATCTGCTCTCATCTGCACCTTGACATATCACCTATAAAATAAATTCAATGAGAGGTCTATAGCATAGCATCATGATTAAGAACAGGAAAGTAGATATAAAATGGAAAAATTACTCATAATACAGAGCTATGAGTGAGAGTAAGACCATGTGTGAAGCAATCATAGTGTGCTACTGATTCATCCAATCCTCAACTATAAAAATGACTACACTATGCCTTGCCTAACTCATGCTAACACTACAATGAGCTATTCTGGCTTGAATGTGAAAGTCCCTCATAGGCTCATATTCTGAATACTTGTTCCCCAGTTGTTTGGTGAGTGGAACTGTGGAACCTTTAGGAGATAGGGCATCTGAAGGATTTACTGGCCATTGGTTCCTACCAGACTCTGTAATGTGCAAAGCCTCTGCCACATTTCCTAACGCAATGACCTGAGCTGCTCCACTGTGCTTTCCCTGTGGTGATGGACTCAAACAAGGACCCAAAATAAATCTTTCCTCTTCTTACATTGTTTCGGTCAGTTAATAAATATGGCGATGGTGTAAAAGTCACTAACACAGAAAACTGGTACTGAGATGTAGGGGTTTTGCTATTATAAGTCAGACTATGTGATTCATAGGCCTTCTGAACTGGTATATGGGAGGAAAAGTTTGGAAATGAGGCTAGGAGAAGCCTCAAAATGCTGTACACAGAACCTAATGGGAATATGCTGGTGGGAGTTTGGTAGATCAGAATGCCAATAGAAATGTAGACCAATTAATGCTGCCTGCATGAGCGTAGGCAAAGTACCAGCAGTCATACACATGTATGCACATGCCCACACTTGGGGAAAAAAAATACTTCCCGCCCACCAGCAGTCATCAATTGCTTCTCTTCTATTCAGTTCTCTTCTGTTTATTTTGTTTTGAGATAGGGTCATCCTATAGCCCTAGATGACCTGGAACTTGCTATGTAGACCAGGCTGGCCTCATCCTCACAGTGATCTGACTGCCTCAGCTTTCCAAGTGCTGGAACCAAAGGGGTAAGCCACCACACCAGGTTAGCAGTCATCTCAACTTAGGGTAGAACCTCATGGGCCCCTCCCCCAATATATGCTGGGATTATTGACAGGTTTGATCTTGTGCAGCAAAGCCTCTACTTTTAGCTACTAGTTTTGCTCAAGGTAGATTACCTCTATTAAAGCCAACAGATTAAAAGAGATGTTTACAGAACAGAATCAATAATATTGTACACTGTATGACACTACAAGGCCTCATCCCAGATATCCAGAATAGGGAAAGAGAAGGTACCAATCAGGTCTTTTCTCAAATCAAAGTTTTTCTTTTAAGTTTTAAATTTGGAATCTAGGAGATAGCTCAGTCAGGAAAGTACTTGCCATGCAAGCCTAAGAACCTCAGTTCAATCCCCAGAGCCCACATTAAAAAGTCAGACTAGCTGGGCGTGGTGGCGCATGCCTTTAATCCCAGCACTCGGGAGGCAGAGGCAGGCGGATCTCTGTGAGTACAAGGCCAGCCTGGTCTACATAGTGAGTTCCTGGACAGCTGGGGCTACTGGGAAACCCTGTCTCAAAAAAAAAAAAAAGTCAGACTAGGTATCATGAACCTGTAATTCCAACACTGAGGAAATGAATTAGCCCTAATTGGCCAAGCTCCAAACCCAGTCAACACCTTGCCTCAAATAAAGAAGGTCAACAGCACCAGAGGAGTAACACCTGAAGTTACACATACACACGCACGCATGCACATATACACATACAAAACAAACAGAAGAATTTTGAAAAGCCCCTGTTCCTTTTCACAGTCAATCTATTGGTTTTAACATCAGACCAAAGAGTTGCAAAAAGGAGGACAAGGTCAAATAAGAGTAAAGTATAACATGACAGCCTCCAAGGAACTAGTACAAATTGCCTTTTATTGGGCTGTATCACAGGAACGTTGCTTGGGGGGAAAATGTTGTCAAATGTCACTAGAGAAATTATTTGAAAATAAATTCTAACAAATAAGCATATTACATTCTTATAATCCCAAAATTCAAAGGGAAATTAGCTTTGACAGTCCTATCAGCCAGAATGGGATGTGACACACTTGAGCAGTTGTCTTGTTAACTTAGAGAAGAAAGACTTGGCTACCTACTCTCACAATGGCTAAAAGCAATATAAAAACCAGTCAAAAGTGCTAACATAGTCTTTATCTTTCATGGTATAAGAAACCAATTACAAGTTCATCTGTGTAAGACCTAGCTAATAATTCAAGTTGGGTACAAAGAGATGAACGGATTACCAAAGGGGGAAGGTTATTATACTGTGACAAGCTTTTAAATATTTGCATTGCCATTAACCAGCTGCTTGATCTTGTTTTTGTATACATGTCACCTGCGTCCCAAGCTAAAAGGAGCAAATTTAGAAGGAAGACTCACCTTTAAGACACTGGCACCCCCTTCTGACGTTTTGGTGGCAAAGCATGCCCAAGTTACCAACGTGAAAAACCTCTTTAGAGACATAAATGAAGGACTTGAGGCAATATTTTCCAAATTATTTTATTCCTTAAATAAATGCAAATTTACCTCGATAAAAATATGAAAGAACAAAATTTCTTTAAAAATTATTTATGCCATGAGGGCTGGCGAGATGGCTCACGGACTAGAGGTAGTAGCATGAGGGTCTGATGACTTGAGTTGGATCCCCAGATTCCACAAGGTGGCAGGAGAAAACTGATTCCCAAAGAGTTGTTCTCTGATCTCCACAGATGTGTACATATGTGTACACACACATACATACACACAACTAAACAAATAAATAAATACCATGGACACCGTAATTACATATTACACAGGGTAACCAAGGTCAACATTCATGATAATTTACCATAGGCCAGAATTAATACTTCTAAATCTATATCATTATACCACTGTAGTTTTGGGGTTTTTTAAGGCCTTTTTGAGACAAGGTCTCCTTGTAGCCTGAGCTGTCCTGGAACTCACTATGTAGACCAGGCTGGCCTTGAACTCACGGAGATCCACCTGCCTCTGCCTCCCGAGCGCTGGGACTAAAGGTGTGCACCACCACACCCGGTGTATTTATCTTTTCACTTGAATAATTTAGAATATAGTTTGAGGTATAGACTTGATATAAACCCAGGTATTATAAATATAAATGAGCCAGGCATGGCGATACATCACTTTAATTCCTGTAACTGGGCAGCAGAGACAGGAAGATCTCTGGAAGGCCAGCTGAGGCTACAGGGAACCCTGTCTCAAAAAGAACCATAATTAATTAATTAGTTAGTTAATTGATACCTATTTTAATGTGTTAGACTGAAACAAAATGGTTGTTTTAGTACAATAAATGATCACATGACTCTAAGCATAACAAGGTAAAACTAGGAATGGACTCCACACAAATCCCAAAAGCCCTTTACCTCTGTCTGCAGGATGGCGGCCCTTTGTTCCTTAGCAGTGAGGGACTCCTTCAGCACTTCAATATGTTGTTTACTGTCTGAGAACTGGTTTGTGAGAGTTTCTAGCTTTGTCTGTAAGGCTAGTAGTTCTGTGTCCTTTCTGGACAACTCCTGTTTCACCTGGCCAATCTGGAAAAGAAAATAGAACATTATAAGGAAGAGAGAAATGAAACAATTACCTGTTATCTGGACCTCTGGTAGATCTACGTCACAAAACAGGAAACTAAATGTAATATTAACTTTAAATTAAGGTAGAGATTGGGGGGAGGGTGCTTTAGTGACAAAGCACCTGTCTAGCAATGCTGAGGCCAGCCTCACTGCAGGGCAAATTAACTAAGATGGGACATGCTCATCTTTTTGCCTCATCTAACATTGGATGTTCCTTCTCCCAAAAAACTAAGCTTACTCAACAAATACAAAAGTTTCCAGCTTTCACTTATTGTTCTCTAAATTTCTTTGAAATCCTGGGAAAAGAAATGAGTGGAAGGAAATTACAGTTCACCTAGATGAAGCAGCAGTCATCCCCATGATAGGGATTAAAGGAGTTCCATTTACCTCATCAGGCCTCTATCTCTAGAACACCATGAAGCAAAGGCAAGATTAGCGTAGATAGAAGGCATGAGAGAAAAAGAAACCCAGTTCTGTATAGTAAATTCAAGACCTAGTGTTATGCTTCTTTGTTAAGCAGAAATTTCAGAAAATCTTTATCTTTAAAAGCTACTTCCAGTGTTGAGGTATTAGAAACATGTTCTTTTCTTTTTCTATAATTTTGATGCATACAGAACTTTAAAAACAGTCACCTATCTATCACTTACACACATCACAGTAAATAAACATGTTTATAGACTTGAATAAAGCTCTCACTCCGAAAGAATCTACATGAACAATTTGAACTTTATCACTCTGCAAGGACAATCCATAAATCAACTAGTACAATCTTTCTCTTAAATTCTTTTTCTTTTCTTTCTTTTTGTTTTGAATTTGTTTTGTTTTTGTTTCTTTGTTTTTGGTGACAGGGTCTCATGTAGCCCAGGCTGGTCCAAACTCATTATGTAGTCAAAGCTAGTCCTAAACTTCTGATCTTCTTGCTTCTACCTGGGTGCTAGAGTAGGTGTGTATTTACCACACCCAGCTTGTTTCTAAGAATTTTTTGAATGTGTGTGTGTGTGTATTGTATGTGTATGTGTATGTATGTGTGTGGTGTACATACATGTTTGTGTATATACATATATGTATTAGTCAGAGTTCTCCAAAGAAACAGAACCGGTAGAATGAATATGTATAGGGATTTATCAGCTTAGCTCACAGGATAGAGTCCGAGTAGTCCAACAATGGCTGCACCACACTGGAGAGGCTGAGAATCTGTAGTTGCTCAGTCCACAAGGCTGGATATCTCAGTAGTCCCAATCTGGCGCTGAAGGTCTGACAAATTCCAAAAGATCAGCTAGTCTTCAGTCTACAGCACCAAGACGAACTCACCAGCGAGAGAGAAGGCAAGCAGCAAAAAGCCTGGCACTCTGCTCTGCCTTGGTCTTTTATACTGGCTGCCATCAGAAGGTAACGCCCACATTTAGGGTGTGTCTTCTGGCTTTAGATGATCCAATCAAGATCTCTTTCATTTCAGTTAATCCCAGATCCAATCAAATTGACACCCAGGATTAGCCATCACAAGTCCACCCCTTGTCAACTTGACACACAATAGCATATCTCTATGTCATGCTTAATACAATGTTGAGGTCATAATTTCACCTAACATGGTATAACTATCCCATAATACAATGACCAATGCATTATATATCTTAGAGTAGGTGATAAGGTCTTCGAGGAATGCTTAGTCCATTAGTGTCTCATAACCCAATATGATCATTTAGGTTCATAACACTTAAGTACTTAAAACACTTATCTCAATTATACATTCAAATAAGAATAGCACAAGTATCTGCTTAACATATGTGTATATATGCACAGGCCTATTCTTAACCAAATAGGACAAAAATACTCATGTCAATTATAATCCATGTTTCTGCAACTGGTCACGTGGCCTAAGTTGGTATTTGTAACTACCTTCCTCTACGACCCATTCTGTATTTCCTCCACCATCAGCAAGCACCTCTGCAGGTCTTGGCTCGTTCCCTGGAGGAGTGACCCATACTTTCATCCCTGAAGGGTCTGGGCCATTTGTTGTCCTGTCTGGATTGGGTTGTTGCA